CCCCCCAAAGTCCAACCAATGTTACCAGCTTACGGTCAAATCACGTTGAAATCACCGGTTCTCGTACGATCACCGAAGTTAAGCATCGTAGAGCCAGGTCAGTACTTAGATGGGGGGACCGCTTGGGAACACCTGGTACTGTAAGCCCCAAAAGTCCAACCCTTACCTCACAGTCGGTGGGGGGTGTAAACGGTAGTGTCAGAGCTATGCCGCCCGGAACTTCGTTCCTGGTAGGGCCACCCAAGGCGGACAGGTCTGACACACACGCCGGCTAACAAGGGCTCTGGTGAAAATCCAAGGAGCGTCTGCATCGGTAACCGGCGGCTTCTGGTCGTTCCTGTCTCTGCGTCTGTGGGAACCCCGCGGCAAGCAAGAACGTTATCCGAGTAGGCCTGGGTACCCTACTTCTGTAATTTATCCCAAGAATCTTCTTCTCATAACAGGAAGAAGCCGGCTCAATTCGCCCAGGGTGAATGCCGCATCAGTACAGTAGTAGTATTAGGATAAAACTAAAGGATACATCTGGCTTTTACAGCAGTAAAACATCGAGACCTAATCGCCAATCTAGTATTACACTTAAAGTGATGCGGTCCTGGTATCAAGGTGGAGAGTTCAGTATTAGAAGATCTACGGGCATGCTCATATGTTACCCAGGTGAAAATATTCATTGTCTTTCTTGGTGTGACATTTTCATTCTCCGACAGTACATACAATCATGTTTTCTTGTTAATGGTAATGGTAGCATCAGCCGTTTCTCTACAAGGAAACTTTTTTTCATTCATAACACAGGTTCAATGGGCTGTTTTTTTCGGTTGAAATTTATAATACTTCCATTATTTACGGTGAAGACTTTAAAAAAGAAAGAAAAAGGGAAACAGGTTTAACAAGTCCGGTAGCTCATTATCTCTCTTTTCAGTATTGAAGTGGTTTCCATTCCGAACCTCGTACACCAACGTGGGGTAGAATATTATCATCTTGATTATATCATTATTTTCTCTTCGAGTTGCATGTTGCTATTTGTTTTCTGGTTGACTGTTAAAGTCAATTGATAGGTTCATGTTATTCGATACAGTTCTTTGTTTGTGATTCTGTAGCCCAGTTAAAATTTTGCAAGTTTTTAAGAATTTTTAAAGACCTTCTTTTTATTTGATCAAAGTTTTTTTTTTTATCACTGATCCATTTAAAACTTTACTCAAGGCTTTGAATTGTATTTCAACTGAAAATTTTAATTTCAACTGTTTAAACCAAATATGGCATCTTTATTGAAAGTAATGATTTAGTTTATTTGTTTCAACTAGAACTCCAAGTTTGTATTGCCTGGAAGAAACGAAACTTTTGTGTCAACAATTCAATGAAAATGTACAGTTTTATATTTAAAATAAATATTTATTACCTTTGTGAAGGCGTTCTTAATTATTACTTTTGTCTTAGTAGTAGTATTCTAAAATTTAGCAACAGCATGAAGTAGTAGTAGTAGGAGTAGTAGTAGTAGTAGTTTTATTTCCTTTGATTTCATATCATATGTTTTCTTTCGGGTCCCAACTTGAGACTTAAATCAAAGATGGTTTCTTAACATTTTCTAATGATCATTTTTTTGTAAAAAAAAAAAAAAAAAAACTATAGTTACACACAATTACATAGATAAAACTAATCATAAAAATTTTTTATACTTTGAAGTACAAATTTTGTTTTTTCTTTCAGGAATGGGCTGAAGAAAATGTTTCAATGAAATATTCTGTTATAAAATCTATAAAGTCCATAATTTTGCTATAAATTCTATTTCTTGGTCATTTTTTTGAAAAGCTATTGTTGGTAATATTGCTAAAAATGACCAGTAAAAAATTGCTATTGTTGTTTATAGAGTTAAATTAATCAAAAACGACCGTAATCTTGGTGGTTATTCTCAGTGACCAAATATAAGAATGTTCACTTCTGCCTATTCAAATTATGCATACTAATTTGAAGCATCACTACAGCTATAAAATCTATTCTTGGTCATTTTGCTATGAAAGCTATTGTTGGTAATTTTGCGATGAATCTATTCTTGGTCATATTGCTATAAAATTTATTTTTGGTAATTTTGCTATGAAATCTATTCTGACATTTTTGGAATGAAATCTACACTTGGATCCTTTCTTGGTCATTTTAAATGAAATCTATTCTTAACGCAATTTTGCTATGAAAATGGATTCTTGGTCATTTTACTTATTAAAATCTATTCTTGGTCAATATCTATGAAATCTATTCTTGGTAATTTTGCTATGAAATCTATTCTTGGTCATTTTGCTATGAAATCTATTCTTGGTCAATATCTATGAAATCTATTCTTGGTAATTTTGTTGTAAAATCTATTCTTGGTCATTTAACTATAAAATTTATTCTTGTTCAGTTTGCTATAAAATCTACTCTTGGTCAATTTGCTATGAAATCTATTCTTGGTCATTTTGCTATGAAATGTATTCCTAGTAAAAAAAAATATAAACATGTATTGCCGATATTTTTACTCTAAAAATCCATTTTTATACTTTTGCAAATTTTTTTTTTTTTTTTTTAGGTTCACTATTTGCTCCTAACTGGATCCTAACTGGTGTTAAATCCCAAATCAGGTTGAACCTGGCATATAGGCTTTAGCCAGAACCATCCTTATTTTAAAATATTATTCCTTCGAAAAATCTTCTTTTAAAAAGATTCTTCTTCTCAGATTCTTCTTATTTCTTAAAATTATTATTGAGATTCTTTTTTGCCTGGAAATAATCTGAATTATTTATAATAATAATAAAATGGCTTTAATAATTAGCAATTTCTAAAACTTAATAAAATGGTAAACTCTTCAAATATCCTCTTCAGGGCGAAACTGGTTCAGGAATATCTAAATCGTCAATCTATGCAATCATTTCCCCAGATCAATGGTTAAAAATGGCTTAGACCGAATGAAGCATGTAGGTTTTAACGAAGGCCATTCTTCTTCGGACGTTTTGAAATTTCACATCAGAATCACAGACATAGAACTGTACCTGTCTATATTTAAATAAACGGTTCAGTTCGACATTCCAACCAACTGAAGAAGGTCGGAGCTTACAACGGCCGAGACGATGTCATAAATATGGCGACAAAGATGAGGACAATACTCTTTTCAAAAAATTTTTAAAATAGAACTGTACCGTGTGGACTTTTTTAAAAGACAATCTTTAAAAAAGCATATGTAAACTAAAAAGAAAATAATAACACAAAGGAATTAACGTTCCACAATATTCTCCGAGCCATGCCTTTCAGGACGTCAGTCGCTCAACATAAATGAACGACTGTTAAAATCAACTCTCATCTACGGAAATGGAGGAACCCGAAAATAAATTAAAAAGGGCGGAGTTCCGATTTAAATATTTCGGCAAAATGACCCATTTAACTGGTTCAATGTGTTATTTTTTTAAAAGCCTAATGGCTTTTTTTGCCCAAAAATTTAAAAGGCCTTGTGCCACATGACAACCTTTTGACTCATTTTAATGCATTAGGACGTGGGTGATCATGGCTTCACAGTTTCTTGTCCTTTTATTCTTAATCAAAACTGTCTTTTGTAATCCTAAACAATTGCCCCGCCATTAAATTTTATAAATTTTCGGTTTTTATTTTGCGTTGTTTTCTCTGACCCTCTTGCCTTCAATCTGTTTCTGTCAATAGTATTAAATTTTCGCCCTCTTTCCTCATTATGTGCCTTTAAATTTCATGGTCTCCCCAATATTATGTATAAGAATTTTACGTTCCACAACTCTTTTTCTGTTTCAACCTTCCAGAACGAAATTATTTTCTTTTATTTCCACGATTTTTTCTTCCAAATAGCTAATTTTGTCTTTTGCCTTTTCTAAAATCTTGTCCCGCCATTCATTTATTTCAAGAACAGGCTTCGATAGTTAATACGCTGTTTTGGTCTGACCCTCTTTTAAAAAATCTGTCTTGTGAAATTAAATTTTTACGAGCCCTTTTCTTTATTACTGTTTTATAATTTCAAGAGTCTATTTCTCGTATTAAGTATAAGTGTTCTTTTTGCGTCCATTTTTCATAAAATTCGATCACATGTTTGTTCCATGGTATTCTTCGCGTCGTTCAGTAGAATCAAATTTCTGTTGATTCAAGCGTCTTCTACATCTGCGCGGAAAGTGACCAGTAGTTACTGACATAGAAGTTTAGAAAGGAATCCAAAAACGCCCTAAAGCAGTTATTTTAAGGAATATTGTAACGACTTAGCAAACTTCAAAAATACAGAATGCATGGACATCTGGTAAAAAGATTTAAGAAATGTGATATACTTATTTGATTCTTTCCAAAATTTCGGAAATTTAAATATCTGGGAAATTAAAAATTGACAGAGGAAGAAAAAATGCTGAGATCCGTAGACGTATTGTTCATGGCCAAAGACGCATTCCAAAAGCTGGACAGAGTATTGCGAGTCAGAAGGATTTCTTTAGTAACAAAGAAAAAAGTACTGAGCTGCTACGTGGCCTCTGTCCTCCTTTACGGCAGCGAATGTTGGACGGTTTCCTCAAAGAAGAAAAAGAAGAGACTCTAGGCAACGGAGGTATGGTTCTACAGAAGGATGCTAAGAATACCATGAACCGAGCTTGTGAACAACGATGAGGATTTGCAGAGGATGCAAACAAGGAGGAAGCTTATTCTTAACATCTGGAAGAGGCACCTGAAATTTCTGAGACACGTAATGGGAAAAGAAGGCCTTGAGAACCTGACATTCCCAAGTCGAATAGAGGGAAAGAGAGAAGGCTGATAAGGATATTATGGACAGAGTTTGTGAGCAACGATGTGGCTTTGGAGATTATGCAAATAAGGACGAAGCTTATACTTAACATCAGGGAGAGCCACCTGAAATTTCTGAGACACGTAATGAGAAAAGAAGGCCGGGAGAATCTGATACTCACGGGTCGAATAGAGGGAAAGAGAGAATATCCTCTATATATCATGGACAGAGCGTTTCAATACATGAGGTTTTGGAG